AAATTGCAGTGCTGTTTTGGGGATGTGAAAGGGCAAACAGCAGGTTTGCGGAACAGCTGGTACTTAGAGTTTTGCCAGTAGCTCAAATACTTGAAAAATTCATCTTGTCTCTTGTAATAGCTGTGTTCTGCTGTTGTTTGGAAAGATTTCACGTGGTGTTTGTCATCTTTCAAGTTTGTTACTGTACATCTGCTCTCTTCATGACTTTTTAAGAATCCGACTTACTTGCCAAGGCAGTGTCAGACTTCTTGCATGCAGTTTAACAGCTGGTGGCCAAGGGAAGGTGGTCTGAGATGACCTGGAGTGGTACTTCTGTGGCTGCAGAGGAAGCATGCAAAGAAAAGCAAAAATGCTTTGATTAAGTCTTTCTGTAGCACACTTGCCTCTACAGCAATGACTACTGGGATAAGTGCCTTCTAATTTTAAGACAAAAGACAAGTTTTTATGGAGTTGTTATGCAAGTTTTTATGGGAGGGGGAGAGAGAAAGAAGAGAAAGGGGGGTGAGAATACTGAGGAAGCGTGCAAAATCTGAATTTTAATGGCTTGATCTAAGCTAATTCAAGCTTTTGATGTCCTGTCCTTTCAGAATGTGTGTGGAAATCGAGTTGCTGATGCCTGGAGGGTTTGGGGAGCAGTGTCCGTTTGTCCTCCAGTCAGAGTTCAGTCCAGCCAGATGTTGAATCTGATCCATGTCCAGTGAGGCACTCATGGGTTTAGTGAGATGCTAAGTGACATCTCACCCTCTTAGTTTTTCTTCTCTCCCCTTCTGACTTTTCTGATTTTTCTGTTCTGACACTAATGTGTCATACATTTCCACTTCAGCCAGTTGTATATGTGCAGTATAGCATCTTTCTAGAGTCTTCCTCTCTTGTGCTTAATGCAGCTGATGGTTTAAAGGCAGCTGTCAGGTGGGTGGCCTCACAGTGGAGATGAACCCTTTTATCCAAATTATAAGTCCCTGGTTCCATTGTGTTCTTACTGGGCTAAAATGAATAAAAAAAATTTACAACTTTATGATTGGGACCAATCTACTACACTGACATAATTTTTGAAAATAGTAATTTATTTGCATTAGATTTTTCAATTATTTGTGGATGGAAGGTGTTCTGTTTTGGGCTGGGGTAGAGTTATTTTTTTCACAGGAAGTTGTGTTTCAGATTTATGCTTAACCCAGGGTTGATAAATTAGAGGTGCTATTGCTGAGCAGGGCTTACACAGAGCCATGGCCTTTTCTGCTTATTGGACTTTGACATTGTCAAGGATAATACTGGGGGTGCTTAGGAGATTTGGGAAGAGACACAGCTGGGACAGGCAACCCAAAATGTCCATGGGAATATTCCAGATTATGTGACATTGTGCTCAGTGTATGAAGTGAGGAGAAGAAGGGGGGATGTTTGAAGTGATGGTGCAGTACTTTGACTTCCCAAGTCACCATTATGTGTGATGGAACCCTTCTCTCCTGGAGGTGGCTAAACTCTTGCCTGTGGGAAGCAGTGAATTAATTTATTGGTGTGCTTTTCTTGCGTGGGCAGCTTTTGCTTTCCCTATTAAGATGTCTTTATCTCAGCCTATGAGTTTTCTATCTTTTAGTCTCTTCATTCTCTCCCTAATCCAGCTGGTGGGGGACAGAGAGAGCAGCTCTCTGGGGGGCTTGGCTGTTGGCTGGGGTTAAACCATGACAGAAGGGAAGTTGTTAAACCTCTGTATTGCAAAATCGAATATGATTTCTAAATGCCAGTATATTTAACATAGTGACATCACAGTGACTATCTTGTCTAGGAAGAAACTGGGACTGAGTGTGACTCAAAAGAGGCGGAAGATGAATGTGGAAGGCAGTGGAATTGCCATTGCAAATTCTTGTTTTCTGCTCCTGGTAACGCACTCCCTTCAGTGTGGTTGTGTCTCATGAAGACTCTGTAATTGAGGTGTGTTTTGTCTTGATTTCTCATCTAACTTCTTGCTACATAGATTTTGAAATGAAGTTAGCTTCACTTCTCATGCATTTTCGTTAAAAAGGATTAAGTTCATCTGAGTTGTGTGTGGTGAAGAAAAAGGTGGCTGTGTTTTAGTAGTAAGGACACAAGCTTTTTACTTAGTAATGGGTTAATATCTGAATAGGTCTGTAGGTGTTTAATTCAGTTAGATAAAGGTTTTAAATTAGAAGAAACTTATTGCAGTTGCAGAGTTTCTTTTCATCTGATCAGGAGCAGGTAGTGGATTGCTTAATTTGTTGCATATATTTACTCATTGGTGTTCAGTTTACCTGTTGTAATTAAACTTCAAACTGAAATGAGATTGCTACATAATAATTTAAATCATGCATTCAAATATGAAAGTTGTTTATTTTCCCTTACCCTCAGCCCTGGTGTGTGCTTTAGCATGCTCTTTAAAGAAGTGGGATTTCTTGCATTGGTCTGTCAGTCCCCTGGTAGCTCTTGAACACGTTGGACCATCTCGTCAGTAAGTGATAAGAAAACAAAAACCTTGAATTGCAGTTGTAGTTTTCTTCAAATTAGCTTTTGCAGGCAAGAAAGAACATTATGTGGAGAAGGGACTTAAATAAGAGTTTGTGTTGGAAGGCATTCTGACTGTACTCAATAAGGTAGGTGTTTCAAGAGGTTAGCTGGGCAGTGCGCAGCCAGCTTCCAGCTGGGGCCAGAGTGCTGTGTGGGCAGGTGAGGGAGTTGGGTGAACTCCAGAGGGTAAGGGCAGGGGGCAGCTCTGAGAGTGCTAGACAGAAAGTGCCATGGGAAAAACAGGCCTTGTCATATAAACTGTTAATTTAGCACTAATTTCTGCTCCTTTTAATTTGTCTTACAAGTTATGTTTATATGAAATGCTTTTTCATGGTAACATTTACATTACAGTGGAAGAATTCCTCATAATGATTTCTATTTTGTAGCTTCAATGCACTAGCTTGTTGGCAGTGTTGGTGCTAGATGTTGCTCTTCAGTAATTGTGAATTTCCAGTTTTGACTTATTTTTTTATCAAGTTCAGAAAAGCATCTGGAGTGGATGTGAAGTAGTATTTTGAAATATTTGTGTTTGTAGAGGAATACAAAAACATAGAACAGAAACAGGAAGGTTTTTTAATCAAATGCAGAAGTTGTTCCTCTGTTACCTCTGATGTGTTGTTGTGTAAAATTTAGCAAATTCAGCTAACCTTAAATTCTGACTTATTCAAATTGTCTCATATTATGAAAGACATACAATATAATTCAAGACTACTGCTTAGAAGTCATGAGCTTGTTCCTTCCTGACCTGTTATGAAAGAGTCTTGCAGTTAGTTTCTTTTTGTTCATTAAGGCTGTTAAGCTTTTAGAAATGTTCTTGAGAATAAAATATTTAAATTTTCAGGTGGAAGTCATTACAAAAATTACTGTGCAACATTTGAAAGACAAAAGGATTTTTTAATTTACTAATGTGATTTTAATTAGAGAAATTGAAAGGCTAGTTTAATTGCTTTAGTATGGTAAAAAAGAAATTTTTGGCTAAGCCTTTCCCAAATGAACTTTGTCCTTGGTAATAATGTAACTTCTTGTTCCGGAAAATTTGCATGCCATGAAGTTTTAAACAGAATATAATTAATGAGTAGTACATGGGCATTGAATTGTTGCTGTTAAAAATGTAATCAACTTGACTATTGAGTTAATGTAGTTTTCAAGAAAACTGATTTTGTTTTATATTGCTTCCCTTTTGGGAGAATTCTGTCTCACTTGGGCATCCTTGCTCTGAAAGCTGCTCTCTGCAGGACAGTGTTTTCTATGCCATTGTGTCCTTTTGTGATGCTTTGAGAGCTCTTTTTTTTCATTTATTTTCCCCATCTGTTGTGGTTTAGGAATGGTACTCCACAATTTAGTTTTTCTCCCGAGACTTTCCAAACCACACTGTCACTTGCTCGCTCCCCTTCCTTCCCTGCTTCTGCCCCCCACCCCCTCCAGGTAGCCAGGGAGAACTGGATGTGTAAAAGGCACAGATCGCAGCTCGAAATAAGAACAATTTATTGGAAAGAGCAATGAGATAAGAAAACAAACAGTAGCAGCAACAATATTAATAAGAAAAATATATAAAAAGAGAGAATGATTCATGTGCAAAAATGCTCAAAAAATGCAGAGCCTGACTTGACAGAAGCCAGGTTGTTCCTGACTGTAGAGGAATGCACTGCTTCTTGGAAATGAGAGAGGAATCCCTTTTCCCTGCCCTTGGCCCTGATGTGAGATGGTATCAAATAACACAATGTCTTGGCTTCTTCCCTTGGTCTGGGCTGGAACCAGGACACCATCCTTATTTATTTCATTTTTTCCAAGAAAACCAGTTCTGACAACCTTAGTTTTCTCAGATAAATGTCTTCCTGCATCTGGCATGTTCCCAAAAGTTGTTCAGTAAATGCTTTTATCCCATTCAGAATGCCATACAGCTCCACCTGTGGTAAACCATCTTCTTCCTCATGCAGCCTAATTCTGAGAGGCACTTGCCCTTATATGTCAGATGAATTTATCATTTTTACTGAAAACTGCCAGAGCTGGGGTAGGTTGGTGTCTGACGTAATTGGGGGCTGTAGTGCTTGGTTGGTCTGTTGGTGGCCAGCTTGCCAAGGCAGAATGCCAGCATGCTCCAGACAGTGACCTTTCCTGCCACTTGTGTGGGGACTGCCAGTTTTTTCTAAATGCAAATGTGCACTGAAGTCCAGTGATTCTGGAACTGCAGCACAAGTCTGTGCATACAGTAAATCTTACACCAAATCGAAGGCAAAAAGCCTACATTACCTTTATTGCCTTTACTCTCTGCTGCTCTGCAGTGCTCTTGTCATATTCTGGCATGAGTGCACAGCTCCAGTGCCCCAGTAGGAATTGTACAGTATCTTAGGCTGAAGCAAGGCTTTAAAAGAAGAAAGGTGAAGTACTTTTTGGAGAAAAAAAACCTGAATGTGTGCTACACTGATTCAGAGCTCTTAATTTCATTTTTGTAAATGTCATACATATTTGTTTGTAAATTCCAGATTGTGAGCCATGCCTTTGGTGAAAAGGAACATTGAACCAAGGCATCTCTGCCGAGGAGCTCTGCCAGAGGGAATTACAAGTGAACTGGAATGTGTAACAAATAGCACCCTTGCTGCTATCATACGCCAGCTAAGCAGCTTAAGTAAGTACCTGTAACTTCCTGCAAGTATTTGATTCATGATGCAAAGCTTTGAGATGGATTGTTTTCAATAGCAAAAGTATGGTATGGGACATTACCACGTATGTATTATAATAATAATTGCCTTTATGCTCTTCTATATTTTGAAGTTTATTTAAAAACCCAACCCTCCCCCACTCCAAAAAACAAATTAACAAAAAGCAAGTAGAAAAAAAACCACTACCAACCAAAAGACCGGAGCATAGAAGACCAGAAATTTTTCTAAGGTGAGAGAAATTAGTTCAAGAAACAAGACCAGCACTTGAGTTCTACAGGATTGAGCCAGCAAAGTCTTCTGCCTCTTGGCATCAAATGACACATTTGACTGAAATTTTAGATTTTCGTAGTGTGCTAGTATTTCTGAAGCCTTCTCTTTTATATATATGTGTGCTCAATTCATATGAATGAAATTAAGCGCATTGAAAGGATGCCATTTGCTGAACAAGCCTGCAGGCTACAGTTGAGGCAGGCTAACATCAGCTCTGTACAGAGTAGCCTACACACCACACCTGTCAGGTGACACCACCACTAGCAATTCTAGAAGCATGACTGAAGTGTTTGCACGATGAACAATATTTTTGATGAAAGGGATAAGAGATGTTTTTCAGACAGTCTTTAACAATCAGCAGCTGTTGTTTGTGCTGATAACGCTACTCCTAGAAAAGAAATTACTGCTTCATCAGTTGCTTCTCTTTGTAAATGGACGTGGTTTTAAAACTGAGAGTCTGTATGGAGCTCTGACTATGGGGCCCACTGGTGTTCAGTTCATGATGATAGGAAAAAGCCTTTGCTTAGGGAAAGAGAACAAGAAACACAGCATTTCCTGTTCGCAGTAGTCAGGGATTTAGGGATTTTTGAGCTGGAGGTCCATCTGAATCATCCTATGTAATGAGCATTTGTAAAATATCATCTGTGGTATTGCTTAGATTCATTGAAATAGGGATTAAACCTTCTTCTTGACCAGTGACCTGTGGCAGAATGTCCCACAATGGAAGTTGACCTGTACTTCCTCCTGATACCTTCTCATTCTGGTGTGATGAAAAATAATGAAAGGTGCTTTCATCTTGTGCATTTCCGTAATAATTTGTGATTTTATTAAGTCTTTATCCTGTTCTCTTGATGATGTCTTTTCCAGGTTGAAGCATCCTGCTCTGTAAGTGATCTTTTTGTATAGAAACTATTTTGTATTTCAGAACATTGTTATTTCTGCTTTGGATATGTAAGTTAGAGTATGTTGTGGGCTTTTTAAGGTGGAGTGTTGAGGACTTAAGATCATATTCAAAACAGACTTCTGTTTTATCATCATTCCCCTAGGAATTTGTAGAATTTGGATTGTTGCTAAGCCTTGAATTATTATTTTCAGATAGATCAGAGGATCACTTGCAAGCTTTTCTTGAGCAGCAGCTGACGACTTGGTTTCTGATGTTATTGGAGTTATTTTGTGTTTGCATTGTCATTGAGTTTCGTTTACTGTTTTCTCAGACAATTGCTTAGTAGCACCATCCTTAAATTTCAGGAAAGTAAGAATGGTTAATGTTCTAATTACACTGAAGGAGACATTATAAGACGTGGTGTGCTAGGATTGTCCAAGTGTGGAAAATACACTTTTTACTTGTCTGACTTGGCTAGGAATGTGTACAGCTTTCATTTATCCAGATCTGGAATTGGGGCTAATCTGTTATACAGTGTTTTTAGATCCTCTTAAGATTGTTGCTAAGGAACTGACTACTTATATTCATATCCAGCAGTTTTCCCTTAGCAGATTTCTACGGTCATCTGAAGTCTTTGTAGACAGCCCCTAAAATTCTGTTAGTGTCAAGGTAAAGATCTATGCAAATAAATGATGTGTCCTTAGTCTTAACAGATGAATGTGTGGTATTTAACAAGTGAAATGTACCACCATTCTTATCCACAGTCTGAAATATGTCATGTTTGCAGAGGGCTTTTTCTGCAGACAGCATTTGCAAGGAAATGATCACAAGAAAGTGCTGTGCTGGAGCTGAAGTAGTATGTCCTGCTGACTGCATCAGGGCTGGTTGGTGTTCCCACAGCTTCAGGCATAGCACAAGCAAGTTCAAGTCTATCTTGCAATCACACTGTTTTTTTAGTGTTGCATTGTGAGTTCAATGTGGATTTTAAAAACTGTTAGGTCTGCACTGTTGCATACAGACTTGGCTTGCTTCTGCCTCTGCTCTTTTTGGGAGATGTGAACAAGTTCCTATCCAAAGGGAATGTGCTCTCAGGAGAGCTTTTTCTGTATTATTTTTTCAGATTTGGGTTTATTTCCAGCCAGCAGGCTCAGAGCACAGGCAGAGTGAGCAGAATTCTGTATGAAACTGTTCAATCTTATGTAAGGCAGGACCTTGTCTAAGGGATTCACCTCCACTTGGGAGGAAAGAATCTCCTGGAGAGGAAAGACAGGGAGCATTTGCAGCTCGTACCTCTAAGCAGCATGGAGGAAGTGTAATCTGGAGACTTGAAAGACAATTTTCTTTATGCAGAGAACAACGTCCACCAACTTGCCTCCTAGTATTTTCTTGGGTAGATTGGCCATTGGCTCAGTTTCACTTGCTTTTGTGCAGGCATGAGCACACTGCATCTCTCTGTAGTACTGAACCAGGCTGGGTTGGAAAGGTTGCATTTTTGCCATTAAGTATCATGCTAGAGGTACTGTGAGAAAGGAGATGGGAATTGAGACCTAGTCAGTAACAGCCTACCACTTTTGCATCTTTAAAAAAAGAGGAGGGGTAAAGCATGATTCTTATGTTTCTAGTTAATTCAGCTACAGTGATTCCACCAATCCATGGAATCACTGTCTTATGTGGTTGGAGGGAAGCTTAGAAGAAAAGACTGCATAATGTCTTAGATGGGATTTTAAACTAATGTATAGGTTGGCCACATGTTGGACAACACCTATTGTTTTTAAATTGTTGTCTTACAGTACCAAAATCAGTTCTTAAATTGAAAGATACATGTTTTTTTCCTGCTTATTTCTGTTTTGTTAAAGATCAAATTTAAACAATGGTAACATAGAAAACACTTCAAGTATTTTATTTCTGAAACTTACTGCATCATGTTAATCACAACAGCATGTCCAATACTTCTTCACCTTGTCACTGTTTTCACACAGAGGAGATTGTCAATCTGTCTTTCACATGTTCTGGGCTAGCAAGTGTTGAAAAAAAATCAAGTATTAAAAGAAGCATGCTTCTTCCACTTTGCCTTCTGAAAGATAACTGACAAATATTCATCCCCTTGACTTCTCTAGGGGTGATCTGTTTAATCCTAAAATGTGGCAGTCCTCTCTCAGCAGGCTGATTTCAGTATATTAACATAAACTAACATCTGTTAAAATTGATTGAGCTCTGAATATTGGTGGCTGAAGAATGTAATAACTACTTTATGTAGCTGAAGAGTTAAAAAGCTTATTTTTTCCATAGCTTGGAATAACATCTTCATTTGGAGCAACTAAATCAAGTGGGGATTTTAAGTAAATTTCAACTAGCTGCTGGGAACCCTTAGAGAACACTTTGAGTATGAAGGCAGTTGAACACTGACATGGGTAGCCCAGAGGAGTTGTGGAGTCTACATCCCTGCAAGTGTTCAAAACTCAGCTGGTCAGAGTCCTGTCTCATTGTGCTTTGAGCTGGGAGTTGGACCAGATGATACTCAATTTCAGCTATTCTGTGCTTGTGTGTGACTTCTGTTTTGGAGGGGGAGGAGATTAGGAGCAGGAAGATAGCATACCTTTCTTATCCATCTTCTGCATGTATATATTAAGCAGAGCTTGCATACACTGACATATCCTAACATTTTGGGTTAGTTATTGGCTGATCTTACATGTAGTAATGAAAACTGTTACTGGTGTTACTGGTCAAGTCCTTCATTCAATGGCCATTACTTTTTTTTTTTGTCATTCACAGTGTTTTCAGATAATATTTTAATCTAGTTGTTGTTTCCTCCTGCCACCCAGGCAAGTGACCTAGAAAAGGCCAGATCGTCCTGCTGACTTCCTAAGTGGGGCCATTTTTTTACACTGAGTTATTGTCTCCAGATGTCCACAGAATGGGATCTTAAATTGAAATTTTCATTATCTTTTTACTTTTCTTTGTAAAATATTAAGGTTGGTTATGGGACCAATGTAAAATGTCAATAATGGCTGCTTTGGAAGTCCCTGTCATTTAGGTGGTTAATGCATATTCCATATTCTTTAAACAAATTGGATAGTTTTACTTCCCCTCCCCCTTCCACTTCTGGAACTTTTCTTCATTTTCAGACTCTTCTTGATACAGGTCATAACAAGATGAGCTTAATTCAGGTAGGATTTTAGAATTTGTTTTTGTTTATAAAGCATGGCTAAGTGCAGAAGGCAGGACTTTTCTTTCTACAAGGATTTCTTGAGGGGGTTGGGCTGCAGAAATTGTAGAGGGAGACATCTTAAATGAAATAGCAGTATTTGGGTAGGAGGGACCATCAGTTCAGTGAGCGAGAACAATGAGTTTGGGTGGAAACTGAAATTTGTAGGGGAAGTTCTGGGCAGGCAAACTATTAAACTGGGTATCTGGAACCACTGATCTGGGGTGGATGAGAGTTGTGGACTTGGGTATGAAGAGAGTCAAACTGTGGATGAGTGCCTAGTCCTGTGGAAGGACTGGGAGAGGAATGGCCATACACAATGATCTGTGCATCAGGGAGGGATTTGGGTTATCTTGTGGCACCTTCTGTCAACTGTGGTGCTTTCAAGGAAGGGCAAGGCTGCAAATCTGTACTTGGCACTAGTGAGGCCACACTTCGAGTACGGTGTCCTCTTTTGGGCCCCTCAGTTCAGGAAGGACATTGAGGTGCTGGAGTGGATTCAGAGAAAGACAGCAAAGCCAGTTAAGGGTCTGGAGCATAAGTCTGAGGAGCGGCTGAGGGAGATGGGGGTGTTTTGCCTGGAGAAAAAGAGGCTCAGGGGGACCTTACTACAAGTGCCTGAAAGGAGGGTGTAGGCAGGTGGGGGTTGTTCTCTTCTGCCAGGTGACAGGATGAGAGGACAAAGTCTTAAGCTGCTTCAGGAGAGGTTTAGGTTGGGTGTCAGGAGGAATTTCTTCACAGAAAATGTGATTAGGAATTAGAATGGGCTGCCCAGCAGATTGTGGAATCACCATGCCGTGGAGATATTTAAGGAAAGAGTGGATGTTGCACTTGGTGTCATGGTCTAGTTATGTGATAGTGTTTGAACATAGGTTGGACTTGATGATCTCAGAGGTCTATTCCAACCTAATTGATTCCATGATTTGGTGATCTGGACTGCATTGTCCACTGTCACAGTGATTGAGAACATACAGCAGGTGAAGGAGAGGCTGAAAAGGTTGTGCAATAAGTCCAGTTGTGGCCATGGGTAAATGTGGTCTGTGGCCTCTGACCCCCTCTCAAATTACTCCAGGAACAGCAGCGTTTGCAGTCAGCATTTGTAGAGGTAAGTGGACTGCTGTTTTTATAACGCTGTTTTAATTTTGATATTGGCCTATGGATTTCAAGATTTTAATTTCAAAATCTACTTCAGAAGTTTTTATTGACTGCAGTAACTTCAGGCCTTTTCATCACAGAGCCAGTTTTTAATACTCAGTTGTCTGTCAGTTGGCACTTGCTCAGCTACAGAAGGATTAGAATTTGTAAGTTTTCTTGTGTTTTTAAGAAGACTGCTAACCAGGATGTCCAGAAGAATAGACTTCAGGCAGAATTTATGGTATATTTTCACTTTTTTTTCTACAAACCTGGTGCCTCAAATTTTGCTGAATGACAAACTGTGCTGTTCTAATCCTACAGCTACTGTGTTTTATTATACTTCATTATACTGAAGCCATTTGTCTTGTGTTTTGTAAGCCACTAGCAAAGGGATTTCCTTGTCTGTTTTCTTACACAGGCAAACATGCTGAAGACATATTTGGTGAATTGTTTAATGAGGCCAACAGCTTCTACATCAGAGCAAATTCCCTCCAAGACAGAATTGATCGTCTTGCTGTCAAAGTCACCCAGCTGGATTCAACTGTGGAAGAGGGTAGGTAATTGCATGAAAGCATCGAACCAGAAGTGATGTTGACAAGGGCACAGTATTTAATTGCACAATAACCTCTGTCTTTTCAAAGTAATCCTGTAATGATATTTCATCTTGTTGTCTCAGTAAGGCAAGCTGGGAATAATCACTTTAGCAGAGCAAGTGAAGGTATTCTTGAGTCAAGAAGCCCCTGTAGTAATGGAGCTATTAAGCTGCCATTTTCATGAGGAAAACTTTGAGTTTGTAAGTGCAGTAAATCATAAATGAATAAACACAGACCTTACTGGGAGTAAGTCAGAATATTGGAAAAAGTTTGAGACACTGGGTGTCCATATCAATTTCAGAGTAGGGTAATCAAAAACTATATTAGTCTGTTCTGAGGTTATCAAAGATCACATAATATTCTGTATCTAAACAAGGTGCTGTGTTTGGATCAACTAGGTGAAATTCTTTAGGGGGTTCTACTTGCTAGAAACTGTATTTCCTTTAAAAATATTTCCCACTTATGAGCTTGGTCATTCCCTTAATAAATACACAGTAAAAACAAAGAATTTTAAATAACATCATTATGTTGTTTGAAAGCACTTATTTGGGTAGATAAAGCATTTCTCTGTCTAGCTTTAAAAGCTGTTAACATGCATCTTGGCCTCCATGCTACATGTCTGAGCCAGCCAATGCCTGTACTTCCTGTTTAGATGATTCCTGACATTTACTAAAATATAAAAGCTTTTTATATCAGTACAGTAGTGTAATATTGGCTCACTAGTAGTTAATGCTACTTGTGAACTATTTAACAGTGCTGTTTATATGGCTTATATATTTCACATGCCATTCAGATTTTTGTGGTTTATATATTTTATAGTGCCAATTATTAGTGCTAATATTAAATTTTACTGTTGATATTTAATAGTGTAATGGTGTGATATTTAGCCTTCCTTTTTTAGCTGGTTACTGTCTGGAAATTATTACATGTCATCATTTTATGGTTTTGGAATATATTAACTGTTAGACTCTCAGCTGCCCACAGAATTTGTAGATGCCCTATCTCCAGAGAAACCTGGTTAAGTGAAAGGTGTCCTTGTCCATGGCAGGGGTTTTGGAATGAGATAATCGCTAAGATCCCCTCCAAGCCAAACCACTGAGATTTTTTGGTACAAGCACTTGCATCTTGCTGCTTAAGGGGTTAAGTTATATGGGAATGTAAATAAGCTCCTATGAGATCATTATTCAGCTTAGTTTTTGAGCCATATTGTATTGGTACTATGAACAAACTAGATGATATCAATATCCTGTACTTTTGGAAAGGGCAGTTTTCATCTTGGTTTTGTTGGTTCATGTTTTTTTTTTCCTTCCCTCCTTTTTGGTTTAATGCCTCATTAATGTCTCATTAGTGTTATACAGTACCACCCAGCTATTTTTCAGAGGTTGGAGAATAATTAAAAGCAATCTTTTGGAAGGGGAAACTCGTGTATGGACTGAGAATTTAATCAGTGTTTATTTTAAATTGACAGCAGTTGTTACTCTTGCATTGCTAATCATGCTTCATATTAATAAGCTATATATACAAACTGCTGTCACCTTAGTGTCAGTAAATTTTATTAGCTCTTTCACTGTAGAAGTTGAAGTCTTTATAGTAATTCATTATACTGTCAGAAATAGAATGTTTCTGGATAGCTTCGGCATTTAAGCAAAATGTCAGTTGCAAGGTTGTTTTAAAAAGCCTTTCAGATTTGGTTACATCAGTGATTTCCTATATTCTTAGCTATAACTATTACAGTGTATATAAAAGATATAAATAACCTATTCTAAAAATCTCCAGAATTTTTTTGTTCTTTTGAATGTCTTCCATCAAACAAGAATGAAACAATTCAGATATATACATCCAAAAAATCCGTCTGAAAGACCTTTTACTTACAGGCAGATTTAAATAGAAAGTACTTTCAGAAATGATGTTTTGATACTTGAGGTGATGTGAGTGGGGGAACAAGTATTAGACATTAAATATTCTATTTTTAATTTTGTGCTATTGTAGAAGTTATATAAGAAATGAAGTAATTCTTGGAGTGAGAAGCAAGTCCTCAGCACAGATAACAAAAACAGTTGGGCAAAGAAGTCTGAGTGGGATTTGGTGTCCATCATGACAGACAATAACAGTGTAAAATTTTGTCCCTTTTTCTTTCTTCAGGTCATCAGTATACTACATTTTTTGGCCATTACTGTTAATTTACCTTGTGAAATTTCTCACAGTTTGTTCTTGAGACTCAGTAACTTGGATGAATGGGCAAGAAGTATTAGATGAAATGTGAATGGGAATAAAAGGAGAATAAGCCGGTGCATTTTGTTTGCACAAGTCCTACAGCTTACACTCTTATAAAACACTTGGATTGAATCCAGGAGTGGGCATTGTCATTGTAGACAACCCAGTGAAGACTTCAACATCATCTTTAACTGCAGTCTAAAACCTGTATTTCAGGTGCTTAGCTGTGGAAGGAAGATGATATCAAGAGTTACTGCCACTTCTGAATTGTGATTGGCCTTTAACTGGAGTTTCTCTAACAATGATTGCTGCATTTCATGTATTAAGAGTGAAAGTCTTGATAAAAGTGACAGGAACAATTAAAACCAACTTAAACCTTTCATTTGAAAAGCAGGAAAACCCCGATGTTGTTTCCCCCAAAGCTGTGTATGTGGAAAGATAAAATGGAAGTACGAGAGTACAAGTATTTCTCTCTGTAGAGACAAGAGCAAAACTTTAAGAGCAAGGAGGGTTTAGTTATATGGGAAGACATAGGAGTTGAAAGAGGGTAAAATAAGTGGAACTCTGTCTCTCACAAGAGATTGCTGCAGCTGTAATTAAATTACATTTAGAATGGGCTGGAATTTGTATAGATGGTATGTACAATTATAAAACACCATTTCAGAGGAATACTAGACCTTGTGTTTCAGTCTTGAAGATTTGTTTCTGCTGTTAGAACTCCAGGATAAACCTTATAAAAAGGGGAAATGGTTGGACATCTGCATGTGACAGCATTCTTGCATCATCTTCCAAGATACAGTCCATGGTCCCATTATTTTAAGTGAGGTTCTAGATCAAGTGAGACTTAAATCTTTTTTATTATGGGCATTCTTACATGCCTTTGCCCTTAGATGTTAGAATTACCCACTAAGGGAAAACCTGTCTGTTAACTTGCTGAAAATATTTCATAAAATTAGTGAAAAATGCATGTTGTGTATCCACTTTCATTAGTTTCAGACCTATGGTAAAAGCATTTCTGTTTCTAACAGTATCCTTACAGGACATCAACATGAAAAAAGCATTCAAGAGCTCAACAGTTCAAGACCAGCAGGTAGTTTCAAAGAACAGCATTCCAAACCCGGTGGCTGATATTTATAATCAAAGTGACAAACCACCACCTCTGAATATTCTTTCACCTTATAGGTAAGGAAATATTTATTGTTTAACTTCTTGTACTTTGCCCTTTATTTCCTAATTGTATGCAGAGAATAATTATAGCAGAAGGGAAAAGCTATACTGATTATAGAGATTTGATTTTTCAAGATTGATAAAACATAATCGTCAATCTGCAATAAGTAATAAATTTATTTTTTAAGAATGGTATAGCACAGTATTTGCAGTGTATTTAATTGTTAAGAATTTTTAATTGGAAGGTAAATGTGTAGGATTTAGGACCAAGGGATGTGTTTTTTCTGCTGCTACAGACAGTGGTGGTATTTGTTCATGGACTTCCAGTTAGTAATGGTTGTTATTTATCAGCTTGAAGCTTGGGTGATCATCAAATGTAAGTTTTCTGGATTTAAAGCATAGTAATTCATGTATTTTTAGCTTTTCTTCTTCTGTTTTTCCAGGGATGATAAGAAAGATGGATTGAAATTCTATACTGATCCTTCCTATTTTTTTGATCTTTGGAAAGAAAAAATGTTACAAGATACTGAAGATAAGCGAAAAGAAAAGAGGAGACAAAAGGTAAAAGCAGAAACATTATAGCACATTTGTGCATTACAACTTTATGGGCAGCTGTCCGAACATAAAAATTTCCAGGTCATACTTAGTATGTGTGCATGGAAAGATTGTTCCTCTTGTGTGGCTGTAGATTTAGTGCATTCCAGTTTTATAGCTTATCCTGTCTATTTTAAGATGGCAGCAAATTAGATTTTAGGAGTGCTGTGGTTATCTTCCAAGATGCTGTCTTGAATCTTTTGCCAGTATCTGTTTATTGGTACCCAGAAAGATGGCCCTCTTATGCTCCAGAAAAAGACACTGTAATGGGAGAGGAAAGGAATTTGAATTAGTGTTTTCCATTCCAGTGTCCCATTTTTTCCATTCTGATTTTAAAGGAAAAAATACAGATGGTTTTCTAAGGATTAATAATATTGCTTGAGGATTTCTCTATTCCTATAGAATGATTTCTACAAAACTATATATAAAAATTACTTTTAGACTTTAACTTAGGCAATACATCCTGCTTATTTCCATCCATGGTATATTTTTTGTAGATTTTAATTGTCTTATTGCAGTCTACAAATACGCTCAATTCCAATCATGTCTGATTATAGCCATACCTCACAGAAATACCCCTTGATAAATTCTAGCAGAAGTGCTATTTGATTTGATTAAATATATGCCAAGTCCAACTGAGAAGAAAGGAGAATAGACTTGAGTAAGTTAATTTTGTGATGGGAAGAAATCTGAGGTTTAGCTTTCCAGAAAATGGTTTTCAAGCATTTCGTGATCTGCATCCTTTGGGAGAGCAGGATGGTTTGGTTGAGATGTCTCTCAGGCACACTTTGTTCTACAGCTTGCTGAACCAAATGTCCTTTTTCTTTTGTTCTTGTCCTTATGGTAGCAGTAACCAGGAATGAATCCAGAGCATTTATTAACAATTTGATAGCTGAACTTACGTTTTCAATCTATTATATGAGAATTCTTTACTCAATTTGTGCTCTACAGAAACACAAAATGTTGGGAAACTGTGCAGGTGAAATAAATGTGTATTGTTTAACAAAATATAAGCTAGATATCCAAATGCCATCCTACTCAGCTGACCAAATACAGCAAGTTTTTAGCCTAAATTTTTTAGGTGCTTGGTGAAATCTGAGAGTAGTTCCTGCACCAGAGAATTAGTTTTCCAGTATTATTTTGATAATTTCCCCTAAGTGCTTGAGCTGTTGCAGCAGGTGGTTTATGAGTGGTTTCATTTTCTTGCCTCAAATATGCTTTTTGTTTTTGTATACAGTTTAATTGAAAATATCTGACAGGCTTCCTCTAATTTGCCTCTTTCAGGCAAACTTTTTTCTGAAGAAAAATGCAATTTTAATTCTTTAAGTTTAAAATTTGTGTAGTCTGTTTTTTTTTACTTTTCATAGATCAGTGTCTGTGAGTTCCATGTAGTTTTGACTTGGTATGTATCAATAGTATTCTAAATTGAATGGCTCTAGGTAGGGCAGTTGTGATGAAACAAAGGATAAGCTGTTCTAATTTGCTCTTCATTGTGCTGACTTTTTGTCTGAGAATAATTAGCTATTCAAGCAAGTAAAATGTTTAAATTTGGAAAGCTTGTACTTCAGAAATAATTTTTGATGTTTTGATAGTATTTTATAAATTTGTGGTCAGGAGAATACTCTAGATTTGTGCTTCCAGTTTTTTAAGGTATTGCAAATACTTGCTGAAGCTGCTTTTTATTACTAGCTCTTAATTCTTTATTAAGATGCTTAAATTATTGTTTGCTAATTCTTGATGCACATATCAAACTTACAATTAATTCAACCCTGTTTGAAGGCTCTAATATGTTTTGTGTTTGCTGAAATAATTTCCTGCCAACATGAATGACTTTTTTTCTGGCTTAATCTACAGCACCCACTTGCCTGCCACAGCTTCTATTACAGTTAGTTTAAAAAAAAGTAACTCCTCTTAATATTACTTTGATTTTCTGAGAAATATTTCCAGCTGTAATTAAGTAGAAAGGCTTCAGCTCCCCTACAACTCTGTCATCTTTGTCCTGGGTAGTAAAGCTAGAGTTGTCACCATTGTCAAGGGAATGAAACTGCTACTGGAACAACTTAAAACTATTCTTAGAGGTACATGTAGCTTTGTTAGCTGCTAGTAATAGGGGTGCCCCACTGTTTTGGAAGACATTTAATGTTTTAGAGATGTGTTGATATAATATTTAATCAAAATAGCATTACCGGTAGGGTTTAGTACTGCTTTAGTGAAAAGAATTCATGTGTATTTATTCATTAGCATCGTTACAGATGCTGATCTGGAACAACCTGCCCAGCTGAAATCTGATCCAATTAAAACCAGTTAAGCTTTGTGCTTATTTTTTATTATTTATACATCCATATCTATTTACCTTTCCATAAAATATTGATGAAAAAGTGGTTATCGGACATAAAAATGGTGTGATTCTAAAAATTTTGTGAAGGAAAAATATTTTAGGAGAACTGATTAAGAGCCAAGATGATCATTGTTATTTAACATAAATCAGACCAAAAATCTGTTTACTGTAGAAATGAGCAAGAGTTGTCAAAACATTTGGTGTTGAACTTCAAGAAATCTTTTCTGTCATTCTAAATGTTAGCAGGGTCAGCAGGTCCCTCATGCAAACATGCATGAAGGAGCAGGAGATCCAAAATAAAGACAAGGAAACAATTTGTTAGTTTTTTATTAATTATGTAATGCCAAACACATTATTTCAGAATTACTTGCTCAGTGCTGTTCAACAGTTGGAGTAAAAGAACCTGTGTTCATCTGTGGTGAACAACTTCTTGTTTTCTAGCTTTCCAACTATTATCCCTTACTTTGTGGGTCTAGATTCCCCAGTAAAAGGCTTGCCTACCAGAATTTGACCAAGCTCTTTTCTCCATGCAGTTCATTGACTGCATTCTCAGAATAGTAGTATAATTCTTTCCTGAGAAACTATTTTTCTAGCAGCCAAAAGCCTAATACCAACCTACTAATGGATCAGACATGTATTCTAAGGTGTGGGATCTAGAGCTGACTGAAAAAAACCCCCGGTGTTTTCATGAATACTGAGAAAAGGAGTCATAGACCCTTCTCAGTCTGAATTGAGCAATCTTGTTCATTCTTTGCGCTGAAGCACCAGTATGAGTTTTATATTGATACTGAGTACAGCATTTCCAAGGTGTGAAAGCATTGGGTCCCAATATTAGGAGATCTTGCTATCTAGTGAGGTAAAGACAATTAGGTATGATAAACACTGACAATGGTTGAGCCTGATGTTATATTGAAAGATAAAAGCAGCCAAATTTGTAATGAACCAGTCAAGCTGTCTTGCCCATACTGCTGGCCTGAGTATTACTGACTCACTGCAGAGAGGATTAGTGTAATTCATTTTTATATCAATGATGAGGAGAAACTAGGAGGAATTTTGGTAGTTAATTAGAGCTAAGAAGGGAGAGGAAGTTAAACAAAAATACTTTCAAATAGACTAGGGAAGTGTGTCCAATTTCTCCCTGGCTGACTTCCCTGGCCCTGTTGATTGTGACCATAATGAATAACCAGAATAGCCCTGAGCTTATTTAGCATTGTCAGAAATTTGATTTTCAGGAGATGAAAATTACAAGTGCATCAGGGTGGTCTAAATAAAAGACATGACATCAGAAGAAACTCAACTTTCTGGCTTTTAAAATTGGTCACATTTTTGTATTAGGAAAACCAGGAGATTGGCATCACAGTCGCACATGAATCCTTACAGAATAAAGGCAAATCAAAACTCCTGCTACTAATGAGGTTCATAGTGTAGGGAGATATTCTTATTTTAGTGTAGAGAAATTTTATGAAGAGTTGGCTTCACCTGTAAATCTGGTCTTATTTTCATGCACTCTAACTACATATTAACCAGCTTTTTTCCCTTTCCTTTTTTTCTCTCTTTGCATGCTTTATTTCTCTTGTTTGGACATTAGGAGCAAAAGCGTATAGATGGCACCACCCGTGAGGTGAAAAAGGTTAGAAAAGCCAGGAACAGACGCCAGGAGTGGAATATGATGGCATATGACAAAGAGCTTAGACCTGACAACAGGTTGTCTCAGAGTGTGTACCATGGAGCATCTTCCGAGGGATCACTATCCCCAGATACTAGGTCTGTTTACAGCAAAGCTGTTTGTTATACCACAGTTGTATGTTCAGCAATACTGAGTAGAATTAGGTGTTTTTGCAGGATGGGAATAGTTAGACAAAACATACAATGCATGTTTAAAACATTCTTTTCAAATTTATTTTAAAGTGTAAATGACATAACAGATTCCATAATGTTTTTTTTCTTCCTCAGCTTCACATGAGCATTTTGTCATCTTAATGTTATATATTGCAGAGAAGGAAGTGTTTGCTGCATGCTTTGTATTTCATCTTCAGTAGCTGTAGTTACAAAGCATTTAAGCCTCTACTAGATAATGTCAGTAGCTCTTCCTTAGTGTCTAGTTTGTTTGCTCTGCTGGTACCTTAATAAATATTTTTCTGTGATCTACTCAGTCAAGAATACTTTTGCCTGCAAGGAATGCTTCGGTGGAAGAAGAGTTCAGCTTTTTCATGTTAGATTAGTCTAAAAAACAAGCTAGCAAACCAGATGAGATGTTACTGCTTGAAATAAGAAAAATCTCTGCTTAGAGATATGCAGCGGAATTCATCTTCATTGACTGAGATTGTCTTTGAGCTCAGTGAGAGTTACCTGATGTGCATTGAAGTATCAGTTTTTACACTAAGCTGGTTTCACCAGTGGATTTTCCCACTTATTTTATTTCCTATGTCTGTTGTGATTAAGTACTACCAATAAGAATAGAAATAAATAGGGTCCACTGGAAAAAGTGCTTAAATTGTTGGATGACTAGGTTGAGTAGGCAGCTACCACTGCAGGAGTGTGGACTGATACCTTTAGTCCACTGTCCAGTAGGAGATTAATTTAAAAGAAAAAAATTGGCTCAGAACTTTGCAATGTTGTGGTCTTCATGAAAAGTAATGAACTTGTAATTGAAACATAGTACTTGATATTGCTATAGGTCTTTCAAAAATGTGTTTAGGTTACCTCTCTGTCTAAAAAATGTTGGTTGATTGGTTTTATTTTACAGTTTCTAATGCAAATCTTTGTCTTCTGTTAGTCTTAATGAAACACTGCAGACTGACAAAGCTTTCCATGGGTTGATCTAGTAAAAGCTGTGGATTTTTTCATCAGGAGTTCTGTTTCACACTTTTTGAGTATTTTTTTTTTTCAGATTTAACACCTTGCTTCCAGGATTCCTGAGTTTAAATTATTGTATTGAAGTGATTTGTTTTTATCTCCCAGCAATGTCAACATGTATTTGGCTGTTTGCAGATATGTGGTATTTGCAATCTGATTTTTTAAAGCAGAAATCGTAGGATGCATCTGTGTTGGATTTTGATTTTTTTCTGTGACAGATACCTTGTACTTACATACACCTTTTATATTTTATAAATCATGGAGTATTTTACGTTTCAGTGAATCAAATATCTGAGACTGAATCCTGAAATCTGTTTTACATCTATAATGGGTTAATCCTGAGAATAGTAGTGAGGTGTGGAGAGAGGGCTTTCTGTTTTATCGCCTTGGAGTAGTCTTAAGTTTTAAAAAAACCCATACATACAGAAATATGTACTGGTTTGAGAGACATTTTCATGCTGCCAGCTACTGCATGAGCAGTGTTTTGTAAGTCAGGTCTTTTTTCTCTACTGCTAAAGTTAAAAAAAAAAAGTCGTATTTCTTCTTGTTTGCTACTTATAAGACTTAAGCATTAAATGTTGACATCCCGGTGTTTGGACTGTGGCAATTTACAATGTATTTGTTATACTTATTGTACTTTAGAGAGAGAAACACAAGCTGAATCCAAACAGAAACCTGCAAATTAATGTGAGAAAAGTAAGAACAAGAAAAGAAGAGTGGGAGAGAAGGAAAATGGGCATTGAGTTCATGAGTGACGCAAAGAAAATGGAGCAGGCAGGAAGCATGAAAGAGGACAAAATGCCCAAAGGGTTTGTTATTTTGTTTTGCTCAAAGCCCTGGCTTTTTGTTGCTTACCTTGCTTCCAGTCTCACAGATAAGTGCATCCCTTCACTGTGTTCACTAAAAGCCAGGCTGCACCATTGTTCATTACTAAAACAAGTCTTCACAGTAATGGGATGAAAAGATCTTTTTGCTCCCTCTCTTGGGCTTATTTGACAGAACATCCTAGGCTTTGTATCTTTATGAACTCTCTGCTCAACTAATACTTACATTTCCCAGTTTCTTTAAGCCTTTCCAATAAAATTAATTGTGCAAACAAAATAAAAAGCATTTCCTAACTTTCAAAATTGGTTTTCTCTGCAGTGGTAAAATGTGTTCTTCTGCATAATTGCAAGTGCTTGTAGTATTGCTTTTCTTTTTCCGCTGCCATTGTTAACTTGAGGCAGACTGGTAAGTATTGCCATTTCAAACAATGGACTGTCAAAATCATTGACAAAAACCTTAAGCTTCATTATGGCTACTAAAATTCTTGTGCTTTCTGTGGATTTAAAAGGGAGTGCTACTTGATAAATTGGGAAATCCTCTTGCAAGAAAAATAATGCTGATTGTATTATTTTTAGCTTGTTTTGTCAATTATTTAGCTAATGCCTTGTTATACTCACATAATCTGCCCTTCTGCATCAATTTACCTTAATTTTAGGTCCCATGCATCCGATGTTACAGATTATTCTTATCCTGCTACTCCGAATCATTCCCTCCATCAGCAGATAGCAATGCCTTCCTACGGAGCAGGAGATGGTCCACAGTACATGGCAGCATCCCAAAGCCATGAGCATGAATACAGACCACCCTCCACCACTGTACGACATGCCACTTTAAACAGACCTCAGCAACCACCTCCACCTCCACCCCAGCCTTCAGATGGCCAGCACAGCTCAGTACCTGTGGTACCAGCAGATTATGGGTAAGTCTGATTTATTCTAGGGGATTCTTGGCAAAACCAGAGGAATGCATGTTTTTTTGTAACCATCGTAAAGTGTAATGCATCAAAGAAAAAGACCCCAAGTACATTAGTTACCTCCTTGGGGAGGACAGAAGAAAATTGGTATAATTTCTATGTATGAACTGAATTTAAGTGAAGAAATAGTGAAAGCAGAGATAACCAAGTTTGTATTGAATGAAGTGTGTATTGGTGAAGTCAGTATAATTGTAAAATATTAAGGGTGCCTAATACAATATTGAAGAAGGGATAATTTTCCTTTAAAGTGGAAAGTAGTTGCAGGATAATTTGGGTAATATTTTAAACTTCAGGAAATGTGCAGAAAGAGTATTGTTGATTATGATTAATCTGGCAGTCTTTGTTGCATCCCTGAAATCCCTAGAAGACCTTTTTAGAGAAGCTTGTGACAGAATTGGAAGGAGTCTCCTCAGACACAAATTCTGGACTGCCACAGGAAGAATGCCACTTTCTTAATTCAAGACGGAGATATATCAAATGCCTGTGTAGATACTTTGCCTGAATGAATTCAAAGGAAGGCTTGCTCCAGAGTTGTAGTTCTCCTGTAGCAAGAAAACATCTTTTTTATAATGAGCCTGTCTCTGTTCTTTTGTGTAAATAGCTTAAACTTTTAAGTTGTAACCCCAGGAAAGTTATAGTCATTCTTGCCTGTGGTTTTTACTATGCAAGCCAAGATTTGTCATCCTTTCTTGATACATCCTGGGATAGCATTTGCCTGATTCATGGCTGTCATGCTGCAGATGACTGAGTTAGGAGTGACTGCTCCAGCCTGCCCTTTCTCTGTTGTTTCCAGTGTATAAGACATTACTGGGCTTAATCCTCAGGTCCATGACCATTGTCGGGGTGTTGCTCTTGTTATACGCTGGCATGTGTCACTCAGTGTCATCAATCACTTTGCTTCAACTCTTGTCTCCTGTATCTAGTTCTTTACCTACTTCATAACTCTTAACAATTCTCTTTGTCTAAGATTTCTTTCAATGACATTTTAACACAGAAATGAGCTCTTCCCTGTGCATCCTATTTAAAGAACTGATCAAATGTATCAATTTAATTAAATGATATTTAAACTGATACATTTAACTGACGAATGTTGCACTATGACATGAAATAACTCATGCACTCACACTAAGGTCAAAAAAGTAAAAGGAAGTAACTTTTATTTCTGACCTTGCAACATATCACTTCTAAAAGTGACAGTGAATTGGAGGATGAAATTACTACTTTTCTAACTACACAAGTCAAACTAACAGTCTATCTATTTTCTCCTCCCATAAAAAGAACTACAAAGCAATCATTATTTACATAAACAGTGTGTGAGAACTCCAGTAAAAATATGTTAACATCAAAAAGCATAAAAAACTTAAAAAAACAAGACAACAGAAGCACATGAGATACATTTACCTTTGGGTAAATATTTTCTTTCATACTTTCCATTGTTCTCCATGTTTGTGTCCTCTATTACCTCTTGACCTATGGAATTGAAGGGTGTAGTCTGCAGTTTTCTTGGTCCCTTCTTCTTCAAAGACTTTGCACTTTACAGTCCCACAGAGTAGATGTTTTATAAGAAATGTAGCTTTGTATTTAACTGGGCAGGAGAGTTAGGATAAAGAAGCTCACTTTGTAGCATGCTGAAAGGACGCTGCCTTTAACTTCAACATTTGTCTTAAATCTCAATAAATCGGCAATATTTGACAGTTTGACAATTCTTATATGTATAATCACTTGCATATTTAAGACATCAGTAAATTGCTTTTGATTTTTGTTTTACCTGAGGTTGGATGAGTACAGTTTAAGGGACGATAATCTTGGAAGTTCTAACTTTTTATGCATTAAATGTTTTTGTTCTGTTTTATACAGGATGCTCCCAGCTCAGATGGTGGATTATTACAATCCTACAGGTCCTCCCCCTCCTCCTCCCCCTCCTATGATTCCTTCAGCACAAACTGCATTTGTTAGTCCCCTTCAGCTTCCTGTGCCACCTTCCCATTCCGGACTGGTGACTGGCTCTACATATGCAGCTACTCATCCTCCTCCTTCTGGTGGGCTTGTTGTCACTGCTCCTCCTCCTCCCGGCCCACCTCCTCCCCCTCCAGGCCCTCCTGCTGCAGGTGCATCCCTCTCTTCCTCCCCCATGCACGCTCCTCCAGCGTCAGAGGTGAAGCAGGCACCAATGAGCGATGCACGGAGTGATCTGCTGGCTGCCATCAGGATGGGTAAGTGCACTTTCAGTGAGTTTAAGGTATTCCTTTTTTCCAGTGAGAGCACAGTGTTTTCCACTGAAATGGGTTTGTGGTTTCTTTTCCCAGCTGGGAAGATTTCACTAACTACAGGTACTACACACCCATTCTGACATTTGTCAGCCATGAGGTTGGATTATTTTCTAGCACTAAAGCTACACAGCTTTGTCAAGCATGTTCTAGTGTTTGTGTGGGCATAATCTAATGAACACAGCACTTGTGTTCATTTTGTAAAGTGCCGATACATGTACACAGATTTTTCCTCCTGTTGAAGAACTGAATTACCCAATGCCAGCCTTCAGCCCACTGATTTTTTTTAACCAGTGGCTTACAGCTCTTCCTGACCTCAGTTATAATATGGAGCTGTAGGTCTAACACTGTTTCCAAATATAGTTTTAAAAACTTTCATCTTCAGATCAAGATGACCTGTACAGTCTTGAATATTTAAGTTCAACGTATTGTTGACAGTTTTAGAAGTCCAGAAGTATTCAGTCTGAGAATTATTTCCCATCCGCCTTTTTTGTCTTTCCCTCTTCCTTGCTCAAGGAGGCTCTCTCTCTCAATACTTGCTTTCTTTTTCCCTCCTTCTTCCTGAGTATTTTGTGAGAATACAACAAACTCACCGATAACAGTGTCAAATATGAAATTTCTTGGCTAGAAAACTTTGAGAGTGATTGTCTCTGCAGGAATTCAGCTGAAAAAGGTGCAGGAGCAGCGTGAGCAGGAGGCGAAGCGTGAGCCCGTTGGCAATGACGTGGCCACCATCCTGTCGAGGCGCATTGCCGTGGAGTACAGCGATTCCGACGACGACTCCGAGTTTGACGAGAACGACTGGTCAGATTGAACGTCGTCCAAGCCTGCTAGAAACTATATTAAATACTTGGCTTCAGTGACTGCTTTGTTAGAAAGATGTAAAGCAAGACGTTGACATGTATTAAGGCTAGTGAGGGAAGTGCTAAAATTGAATTGGTATTATTCAGAATGCTGTAGCTTAGCAACTCTGGTAATAATGATGTGATTATGCTTATGCAGATCAGAAACTTGTCTTACTTTCAGTATTTACTGCATAATACTTAAGTGCCACTAAATGTAGCAACTCTTGTGCTGCGTGCAAAATATGATGCAGTTGTTGCACTGTTACAGAACCAGCATTTTATTTTACTTTCCTGTTCTTGAAGGGATAAAATATATTTTTTTGACTTTACATCTTATTCTTTTAATTATGTAAGCAACTTAGATACTTGTGAATTGGTCTGGTTGTTAGTCTTTGAGGGCAGCTAATTGTATGGCTGAGTGAAGTGTTGAGTTCCATAAATGTGATTAGCTTTTTTATTAGGTACTAATTATGCCCACCTTAGTCTATTTTTAACCACTTCTGGGCTTAAGTTTTTATGCATACAGAATTGATTTTATACTATCTTCCTTTTTATCTTAAAAATGTAGCAGTTGATGAAATGTATACTTTGAAAAATGAACCCACATGATCCAGAAAGAACATTTGGTGAGCAGTCAGATCTGTCTGTAACAGTACCAGCTCTTAAGTTGCTGGTTGCTTGTTGGGAAGAGTGTTGGGGGAGTCTCTGCTGGGTAGCAGATGCATGTCCGTGTTATAAATGGAAATGAAAATACTTGTAGAGCTTTTCAGTCTTACAATAAGATCAACTGGATGCAGGATAGACCTGATGGAAACCCTGTGGCTGTTACAGTGCAGAAAGGCTACTGCTATTGCTGAAGATTGGAACAGTCCAGATCTAGCAATCAGATACATTTCACAAGTATTAAACTTGGTCTTTATGCCTGTAGGTATAAATGTGTGTAAATAAGTTCTATTGTGGTTGATTTGTACATGTGTAGATGTGTGGCACATTGATTCAGAGCTCTTATTTTGAATGTATTTCTTTCCCAGTACATTCCATAGATAAAACATGGGCAGTTAAAGCAGTTTTGATGGTTGTTGAAGTATTATGCCTTATATATACACACACACATTCACTTTCTTAATCCTTTCCTAGGCATAGTTGTTCCCATAAAGTCTGCTTTGACTGTCTGTTTTCCTTATTTTCCACTTTTTAAATCAGCCATACAGTATTAAAATGGCTTGTTTTGGGGTTTTTTTGGTGGGTTTTTTGTTTTTTTTTTTTTTTTTGTTTTTTTGGGTTTTTTTTTTTTTTTTTTTTTTTTTTTTTTTTTTTTTTTTTTTTTTTTTGGACCAAGAGTCAGGCTGCTGCTCTGCCTAATGAGGCTTTTAAATTTTATTCGTAGCAGGGGAAGATTTCTTTCCTTACCAGATTACAGTTTTAATCTTTGTAACAGAAGTCTGTGTAATTCCAGGTCTAACATTTGGTAAACCTCCTTTGTTTTGTGAGGGCCCCCCCAGTCTGTTCTTAAAAGAAGTATGTAAAATAAAAAGAGAAGTGGAAGGTGATTATCTAACCTGTGTTTACATCATTAACAGTTTTAATCCTGAGAATGTAACAGTCTAACACAATGTTTGCATGCAAACTGTTGGCTACTGCATTGCTGTTTAATCTGCATATGATTTTTCAATCCTTGGTGGCTGCCTTTATGGTAGAGGGATAACATGCTGCCTCAGGGCTGGTGTTAAAATTTATGACACAAAATGTGACCAATCTCTGCATAGTGGTGAGCAACCATGCTCTTGGTAACCAGGGGCAGCTGAAAGTACTTGCTGATCACCGTCCCAGTTTGAGCTGGTTTTGTTCTTGCCTTACAATGCAGAGCTGAAGTGTGCTTTGTGTCCCGGAGTCTGAGGTCTGTGTGTCCACCAGGGAGGACAGAATTTAGGCTGTAGCCTGATGGTGGCTTTCATCACCATGTTGCAGATGAACACCATGTTGTCCTTACCATCGTGGTGTGCTTGCACAGTGGCCTGCAAAATGATTCTTTGGAGAGGTAGCTGAAGGTGCAACTGGGACCTCAGTGTTATGTCACTGCATATGTGGTGAGAGCACTCTTGATGTTATTTTGATACATGCTGAAATGAAATGTCTCAACAGAAAATTCTTTCCAGTCTTTCCAATTTGATATGACAGAAGATATATTTTATGAGCACAGAAGTTGGATGTGTCTGAAATTTTGTAATTTGTGCTTATTTTAAATAATAAGCATTAAACAAGCAATCAGTTGTGACCAGTGAGGATAGTGTAGATTTTTCAGTCATAGTAGCCAACCTGTTTTTCTGAATTTGCAATGTTGTAATTTTCCTTTTGGTATTTTATGGACGAAGTGTGAATTGAATTTAGTGATGTAAACACTATTCTAGGCTGTTTCTATCAGTTTTATCATACTTCGAGTTGTATGTAAGTAACAAATATGAATAAAATCTCACTTTTGAGCCTGTGTTTCTTTCCTTAGATGAGTAAGATTTTTACTGTTAATCTTTATTTTAACTTACCAATAACAGAAGTGAAAATGTAAGACTTGCAAATGCTATCTCTGATCCCAAGGCATGATGTTGCTGGGATGAAGGATGCAGTCTACAGTACCAGATTCCTTTGAGGTACTGCTGCTCCTGCTAGCATCCATACTTGGTTCTTTTGCAGCCTTGATTCAAGCTCCAAGTTTGTGGTTGGCCTAAGCAGATATGAATTTCCCTACAGGTAACTTTAGGGATTTTTTTTCCCAGTGTAATGCATTAAATGGCAGCTTTGCTTCCTTAAAGAACAGAAATGGGCAGAAAATACAAGTTATATCAGCAAATCTTGCCCACTTTTTTAATAAGAAGTCATCTTTGTAGGTTAGTGACACCCAACACAATACTATAAATACAAACTCATGTAGGCCTATTAGCAAAATACTTTAAATTTAATCTTTTAATTGTAATCAGATTAAAGCCAGGATAGGCTTTTCATCCTACTGGGAAGAACTTATATAAATCAATTGTGTAATATAGTAGGTTAATTGTAAATTAAACAGATTTGTTTGTGCATCTTAGACTCAATTGTTTATTGAGAAAATAAATTAATCTTTATTCTATTTAACTGAAAACCCCAGTCCTCTGGCTCCCAGTTCTTACTTCTCTCAAATTTCCCACTTTCTGATTTGAACTTAATTCAAATAATTTAGACCATAATTCTTAGCACCAGTTCTACATAGAAACTGAATATGCAAGCTTGAAATGTTTTGGTTCAAAGGTTCTCTTAGTAAAGCATTTATAACTGCTTGTTGTAGGTTGGTTGGAGTTAGGACTGATGGTCACTCAGATGCTGCTTCTACAGCTTTTGTTATTGTCCTTTGAATTTTAAATAATTTTCATGGAATTAAACTGAACTGGATTTTTGGGTATTTGAGATTTCTCTTTACCAAGATGAATGGAGAAGAAAAATGCCTTTGTTGTAAGAAGGGGGTGCATGGTGTTGAGCACAAGCTCAAAATTGAACTAATTTGCAGTATGCAGATGGAGTTGTGAGGGAAGGAAACATCTCATTGAGAAATTTGTGTTTGATGTATTTTTCAGCTGCGTTCTCTCTCTTGTGCTGGGCAATGTTTCAATAATGAAGAAGTGTTCTTTTCCCCTTGAAACAACATACCGTACAGTACAGGAAAGATGTAATTTCTAAAAATGTTTAAAATCTCACTGTGAACTGAACTGAGTGTAAACCTGATAGTAATGAAGACTTCATTAGAATCCTATGACTGGAAGCTGGAGTTGTACAAATTAAATTTTGAGCTGAGGTATTAGTTCCTAGCCAAGAAGTAAGATAAATATTAGAACAGCTTATCCAGAGATGTTTTTTTGCAGTGAATTTTCTTTAAGGTGACATTACACCTTTTTTTCCTTCTGAAAAACCACACAGAAATTCAGCCTGCTGTTGTCTGCTTTGGGGAAAAGTGCTTGCCTTGTGGGGGTGTTGATTTTTAATTCTGAGTCAAGCATTCCTGGTAAAAGTGAGTCCATACATACATGAACTTAAGTCCAAGGATTTTTAGGATATTGAGGCAGATATGTATTCATGTGCTAAAACACTGGAGGTGATATATAGGGAATAACAATAAATTATGATCCCTGCTAGAATCCCTGGTGTAAGCTGCAGAACAGTCATGAGAGACTTGAGCTCACCATGGAACAACCTTCCCAGTTTCTTTGGACTTTAAAGGAAGTGTGGCTACTCCAGAAGGACTGTGGGCTCTCAATTGCCCATCTTTTGTTAAAAAAAGAAGAGGAAGAACAAGAATACTGAGAAAAATATGTCCTTTAGGTATAAATAGGGAGAAGGAATTTCATATATTTCTCTACTAACAGGCAAAGAATCTCTTCATGTGCTGTCAAGTCTCTGTAGGTTTCTCTGGAGAAATGTGTTCTCATCTGTGGGTGACATAGATGTACACTCCTACAATTGGGAAGTGTTCTCAGGTTTGTGCTGGACTGGGCTTTTCAGCTACATAAGAAGACAACTTGCCTCTAAGATTCTTAGCTAAATATAGTCTCTTGGAGATCATTGTAACTGCTGCAGATAAATAGAGAACTTCTTATCTGATTAGCCAGGGTTGGGTGGAGTTCTGTGCTTTGCTCTTGTCGGGGGTTATGTGCAGGGTGATTTGGAGATTAGAGCTGAGGGCCACTGTTTTGAGAAATCTCAGTAGCTTGTCTTAAGCATGTTGTCTTTCTGAATCACTCTGCATTTCAATCACTCTGTGCTGTGGTACCAAGTGAAAACTGCTCTGTTCAGCTGTCACTTGTTGCCAGTCAAGTGTAGGGTAAAGGAGGGAAAAGAGGCCTGGGAATCTACCTTAGTTACCCTAATGCCAGTTAATACTGGACAGCCTGTCCTCTTTGTCTGGGGTAACAATGCTAAACAGAAGTCCTGCCAACTACACTCAAAGGGGTGGCAGAACTCATCTCTTTCCTCTGTTCCTGGAAATCAGGTGTTCTCTTGGTATCTGACAGTGCTGATGAAATTTTTAGTTAAGTTTTTAATCAATTTTTAGTCAAGTTTTCCTGAGTCATCCTGCTCTTAATGTTTGATTTCACTAGTGAGTTTAACTCTCTAGTCCCTTACCAGTCACCTTTTCTACTTTCTGAATAGCCCATGCCCACTGCCTGTCACCCTTCACAAACTGGATGCAGTCACCAGCCATGGTGGCAGTGCCCTTGCTCTCCTGAACTCCGCAGCCCTGCATGGGCTGTCACCTGCAGCCTGTCCCTCTGCCTCCTCTCCTTGTGAGTCTCGTCCTGGTTTTCAGTAGGTGGTTTGCACATTACCAGCCAAAAGTATTCCACTTACCCATTTCAGCAGGACCTGTGGTTTGGTTGGCTGGCCATGGTGTCTTTCCCTTGGGTAGATCCTTGTTCTGTGAGTGTGCTGGTACCACTGGATGTTAAGAGGGGTGCTGCTTCAAGGCACAGGGCTTTTCCTCTCCATAGAGGAGGATGATGGTAGTAGGATTGTTTACCACAGAGTCACACTTTATCACTAAACAAAGACTTTCTAAAGTTGCTGCTTATTCCAACTATGTGAGGCCTCAGCTTAGCCTCACTTGAGACACTCTTTCATGGTTGTTTCTATTCATTTTCTCTGGTCTGGTTTTGGGGTGTTTTCAGCTCTACCTGTGATGCCTTAGTTTTTAGTTTTTGTGTTTCTCAGATTCTGTACTGCTTTAGTGTATAGTTCTGAGCTTCCTATTAAGGGATGATAAGCTCTGTTCACAGAGTAGATAGACAAAACAATTCCTTCTCTAGCTTTGGACCAAGGACAAATGATCCAAATCTCAGGCCCAAGAGCATAAACAATGTAGATTGAAAGAAGGATGGGACTTCATAACCTAAAGCTATAATTGGACAATTTGCTAATGGACTAGAGCTTATAAAACTGTGAGACCTCATGACTGGTTGTCCAGTTTGTGACCATTTTGGGTTCTCCTTGGGTGTAGCCTTGACCAGGCAGTTGTACTGGCCAAGGTGTATCCATTGAGGCCTTTT